TGCAGAGGTGGCACCAGCTCTCAGCCCTTCACCCGGAGTCTGGGCAACCGTCAGCCCCACAGCAACGGGCCCCGGCCGCCAGCCGAGTTAGGGGGTCAGACGGGAGTCAGGGCGGGGGCCAGACTCAAGCCACATCCATGGCATCACCCTCCACCAGGCCCTGGCATCCCCAAGAGGCCCTGGGCACATCGTAAACCTCCCCCAGGCTGTGTGCGCTGCCCGGCCCAGGTACAGTCTTGTGCTGCTGAGAGCGTCCGGCCCAGCCTGAGCTCCACGGAGATCAGCAGGCAGAGGGTCAGACGGGAGTCAGGGCGGGGGCCAGACTCAAGCCACATCCATGGCATCACCCTCCACCAGGCCCTGGCATCCCCAAGAGGCCCTGGGCACATCGTAAACCTCCCCCAGGCTGTGTGCGCTGCCCGGCCCAGGTACAGTCTTGTGCTGCTGAGAGCGTCCGGCCCAGCCTGAGCTCCACGGAGATCAGCAGGCAGAGGGTTAACGTGTGTGCCTCAGCCACAGCTGGGCACCGCAGGCGCTGGAGAGAGCAGTGGAGCCTGGGAAAGCAACTGTGCTTGGCTTCCAGGCTCCCCTGGATTTCCATCATGGATCAGAAGAAAACAGGAACCAAACCCCCTCCCAGTGCAACGGGCCCGGCCCCGAGGGCTCCCCGCTTCTGGGCAGAAGTCTTGGCACTGCACCGAACTGTTGCCGCAGACACAGGCTCCAGCCCATCCTCGGTTCGACCCCGCCGGCATGACAGCGGGGGGGATCTGTCTCCACTCCCCGGAGCTCCCCTGGCTCTGAGCAAAGTGCCCGGGGCAGAGTGAGTGGGTCGTTGCCGTTGGTGTCACACGGTACCGGCGAGAGACATCGCTGCCAGTGGGCATGGAAAGGCTGCGCTGGAGCCAGCACAGGCCGGAAGGAGACAGCAAAGCATCACCAATCAATTCGAGACACCCGGCCTGGCTCTGACGCAGGGAGAGCCCCAGGGGACCGAGGCATCCGGAACTCCGCACTGCGAGGGCCCAGCCCGGAAGGGGTCTAAGCAAAGCAAAACGAACCCCTTCGAAAGGCGCCCTCTCCCGCCACGCCAGCTGGGCCGCTCGGCACAAGGGAAAGGCCAGAATGGTCTCCCGGGGGAAATCTGCCCCAGAGGGTCTGGGCCAGGTGGAGGTTAAAGCTCACCCTGAAAGGCAGGGCCAGTCCGCGGGTACTTACATGCTTCCTCGGCGGGGCAGGCTCAGCTCCTTCTGCAACCAGAGGGAAGAGAAGAGAGGGGTCAGCATGCCGCTCCCCCCGCCGTGCCATGGCAGCTCCTGCCAGCTCCGTGACGGCCGCCGCCACAGGGCCACCGGGAGCAGGGGTGGTTTCAAGCAGGGAGCGCGTCAGGCGGCACCGTGCACAGCCCGTGCATTGGACCCCACAGCCCAGCACAGCTCTGCTCCTGCCCTTGCCCCCTCTGCTAGCTGGGAGGAGACAAATGGCTGGGGCTCAGCCTCCTCCAGCTCCCAACCCATGATGCCACCCCACGTGCGTGAGCGCTAGTGCCAGCTGCTAGTGCCCAGGGCCAGGGACAGGACTCCTGGGTTCTATTTCTCGCGCCAGGCATGGCCCATCCCACCCCCAGAAGGAGACAGTTCTCTCTTTGGGGGCCTTGCTGGCTGAGGTGCCCGACGGTCTTTGAAACCCACGGGCGGAGGAGGCTGAGGGTCCCCATGGAGGGGTCCGTGCCTCGACTGGGGGAGCCAGCCGCTGCCTCGTGGGGGAGGCTGAACACGCCGTGCTCCCAGCAGAGTGCCCAAGAAAAGACTGAGCACGCTCCATGCTGGAAAAGGCTCCTGCAGCATCCCACGGCCCCACTCTCTGGCTGGGCCCCCTCCTGTGTCACAGGGCGGCCGCCTAGCAGGTGGCCGGGTGTCTGGGCTGCCCATGGCTGTGTTCCCTCCCAGGCACCCGTCTCCGCTAGTACGTGCTGGAGAGGTTCGCCGACACAGGCGCTGCCCTTAAAGTGACCCTCGTCGTGCTGAACATCCGCCCCCTGCCTCGTGCGCTGCGTCCAGTGGGGACGGCACGTGCAGCGTCAAAACCCCAGAACAGAAACATCTAACGGAGCGCAGAGCCCTGGCATATCCCCTCTTGCCCAGCAGGTCAGCACGGGGGCACGGATCTTTCCCTGCAAAGATCTCTGACCCCTGCATGCAGGAGGGAGACAGACACAAGTGGGAGGGGAAGTGAACCAGCAGCGGGCAAAGCTGCATTCCAGACCCTGGGGGTGAAAGGCTGCCTATCCCCTGATGTTCTGTGTGGAGGTCTGGCACCTGCCCAGCGTGGGCAGCCAGCAGGCAGCAAGGAAAGTCCTGTTTGCTTTTCCCCTTGTTGGGGGAGATTTTTGCTCGCGCTGTTTGCTAGCATGTGGCAGGGGACGAAGGTCGGTTCTTTGGAGGCCTGCCTGGGAACGTCAGCGGGCTGGGTGTAACTGGATCTGGGTGCGCACGTCCGAAGGCCGAGGGGCGCAGGCGTGGACTCCCCTCAGGGTGCGTGTTGGGGGCCGTGCACGGTGCATGAAATGGGAGATTCTGGGTGTGTCATTGTACACGGGGATGCCGGTGCATGCACTAAAGTCAAGGAACATTCCCCTGCTATGGCTGGCACCTCTTCCACTGCTCTGGCAGCAGCTGGAGGCCAAATACCCTGAGTCTCACACCTGCACAGTCTCCCACGCTCTCCAGCCGTGAGCTAACAAATACACCCCTCCAGAGCCACTGCCCCATCACCCAGCTCCTCTGAGCAGCTTAAACACAGACACAAAATTACACAGAGTTACTGGAATGTCTGGGACCTCTTCCTCTGAGCAGCTTAAACACAGACACAAAATTACAGAGTTGCTGGAATGTCTGGGACCTCCGCACATATGGACACATGCTCCCCCAGACACACACCTACACACCCCATCAACAGGACCATTGAAATATGCACATGTGTACAAACACGCCCACGCATAAGCGCAACCCCACCACATAAACCTTTGCCATCCATGCACATGCATGCACGCCCACACACCTCTTTCCTGCACAGCCTGTTTTCCCCCATCACAGATCGGGGAACCCCCCCAGCCATGGTATTGGAGCGCTAAACTTTATGATGCCGTTCTACCTCAAGGTGGCGCTGTGTGTAACACACCTTATTTCATAGTGATAGAGATGCAGCCATGTTAGTCTGGTGTAGCTGAAACAAAAGACAGGACTATGCAGCACTTTAAAGACTAACAAGATGGTTTATTAGGTGATGAGCTTTCGTGGGCCAGACCTGAGGAAGTGGGTCTGGCCCACAAAAGCTCATCACCTAATATGCCATCTTGTTAGTCTTTAAAGTGCAGCATCGTCTGCTTTGTTACACCTTATTTAAGCTACTCTCAGCCACACTGGGCAGAACATGAAAGGCTCTTAAAGCAAATTCTTCTGCTGTGTCTCTCTCCCAGAAAGAAACTCTGTAGCCAGCCCATTTGGAGCAAGGGAGCATGACATGGTGTCAAAAGTAAACTAGGGTCTGGGAACAAAGCAACAATGGTCACAGGATCTCACTAACTTGTCTCTCTCTAGTACCCAAGAAAACCTCAGCTGTGCCAAACATTCAGAAGGGACAGGCTGGAAACAAGATTTTGAATTGCTACTGAGCTACACAAGGAAATGGATGATATTCAGGTACCTTCTTTAACTGATGTTCCGGTGAAGCAAGCAGAGCATAACTTTCAATCTTTACCCTCACTGGTAGCAGTCACTGAGATGTCTAGGAAAGAGTTCTGGCTACATATGGGCTATGTCTACACTTGCATGATTTTCCGGAAATGCTTTTAACGGAAAAGTTTTCCATTAAAAGCATTTTCAGAAAAGCACGTCTAGATTGGCAGGATGCTTTTCCGGAAAAGCACTCTTTGCGGAAAAGCGTCCGTGGCCAATCTAGACGCTCTTTTCCGCAAAAAAGCCCCGATCGTCATTTTCGTGATCGGGGCTTTTTTGCGGAAAACACTACTGTGCTGTCTACACTGGCCCTTTTCTGGAACAGTTTTCCGGAAAAAGACTTTTGCCCAAATGGGAGCAGCATAGTTTTTCCGGAAAAGCACTGATGATTTTACATTAGATCGTCAGTGCTTTTCCAGAAATTCAAGCGGCCAGTGTAGACAGCTGGCAAGTTTTTCCGGAAAAGCGGCTGATTTTATACAGCCATGATGTATATTGACAGACATAAAGACAGTCATGCGGAAAAGCGGCTGATTTTCCGGAATAACTTGCCAGTGTAGACACAGCCATGATGTATATTGACAGATATAAAGAAAGTCATGAAAATCCTACAGCAATAAGAGCCTTTTCTTGCTCTTCTGAGCTACAGGTCAAACCTGTAACCAATCTCTCTCCAAAGTATCCATATAGGAAGAGACAAACCATATTGAAGAGAAAAGCAAAACAAGATTATGGACACTTTTATAACAGATATCATGCAGAGAACTGCCAGGTCTAGAACTGGTGATCAAGTCTGTGCCAAACTGGATAGAGAAAAAGGACGGACAACTCCAGCTGTCACCCAAAAACCTAATTCAGCGCCCCTATGCGATCAACACTGGCAGGAGAGGAGTTGAACAGAAACCATCGGCACCTACAGTTTGTTCCTCTGAAAGAACAATCAACAGAGCAAACTCTACGGGTGGCGGAGGCAGAAGAGATGACATAAGGATTCCCAACCCACCACAGCCCGCTGTGGCAACCAACGTACAGGCTCGTGGCCAAGCTGCTATGTGTTCTGCTGGTGTAATTAGAAAACCACACAGTTCCGAGGCGCTTAACCGCCTGATCCCTGCTGAGCCTCAAAGGCATTGAGCGTCGATAATGTAAACCTGGTAAATGGTAGAAATGTAGAACGGAACGGACGGCGATGCTAAATGATTACACTGTGCGGCTACCAGGTGGCGCTGTGTGTAACACGCCTTATTGGGACTCACCTTAGTGGTCTCCAATCTTTTAGAGCAGGAGATCATAGAATCGTAGAATTATAGGACTGGAAGGGACCTCGAGAGGTCATCGAGTCCAGCCCCCCCGCCCTCAAGGCAGGACCAAGCTCACTGTTTGACTGTAAGTGCAATCCAAGATCTACCTCAAATATAAATCCCCTAGCCCCGCCTCTCTCCCACCCCTTCTCTGAGGCCTTGCCCCTGCTCACGCCATCCTCCCTCTCTTGCCCATCCTCATTCACTTTCACCAGGCTGGGGCAGAGGCTTGGGGGGAGGCTCTGGTCTTGGAGTAAGGGATTTGGAGTGCGAGAAGGGCTGTGAGCTGAGCGTGGGGCAGGCCGTTGGGGTGCTCCAGGAGGTTCTAGGTGCAAGCTCTGGGAGGGTGTTTGGATGCAGGGGTGCTCGAGACTAGGGCAGGGGCTTGGGGTGCAGGAGGAGGTTCATGCCTGGGGCGGGGTTTCAGGATGTGGGCACCAGCTGGACACTGCTTATCTCAGGTGGCTCAGTGGGGCAAAGGCAGGCTCACCTCTGCCCTGGCCCTGCACCACTCCCAAAAGCAGCCAGCCAACTCCCTCCATCCCAAGTCCCGCTGTGCCCCCTCTCTGCTCTGTGGAGGAAGGATACAGAGTGGGAGGGGGCATCTTGACCTCAGCACCCCTTCCTCTCCCTCCCCTGCCCTGCACCAACGCAGAGGCTCCCGATGGGACAGCTCCAAAGCAAAGGGCAGGAGGTTCCCCATAGGGAGGGGCAGCTCTTGATAGCCTCTTGAACAAACCAGTCCTGATCTACTGATTGGTGAGCGCCGCCTTGGCCCCACCTGGCAGAGCATTAAAGCTTCTTACACTGAACACATCTGGGGCGTGGCACACTCGGAAGGGGCTTGGCAGCCACTCCACATGCAACCTCCCATGTAAAGACACACGCCCCGGCGTTAACAGCTGCACTGCACCATCCAGTCCCCCTCTTCTCTACAGCCGTGCATCCCCCCAGGCTCTTTCCTGTTGCTGCCCTGGAGTCAGCAGGTCCCTGGGGCTTTGCTTGTCATTGAGGGACCACAAGAAATAGGCTTCTCTTTGCCCGGATTAAAGCTGGGATGGCAAGAGACAGGCAGACATTCGCCATGGCAACCACTGATGTCACCGTGCAGCGATGCACCCGGGCATTCTCCGGGGATGGCAGGCACTGCCGTGTGACAGCCGGGGCGGCAGGGACTGTGCACAGAGCCCTGAGCTCTGTCCACCCCCTACAGCCACCCGCTGCACCTGTGTGCGCCAGGCCTCAGCCCTCAATGCTGAGTAA